CGCTGGGCTGGGGGAATGAAAATAAACAGCCCCTCCGAGCAGCCCCTTCCTAGCAGTTACCGGACTTTCCTTCTAATTCCTCAGCCCAGGGCCACTTCCCTCCTCTCCCCTCCTCTGCTCTTCATAGGGTCCCAGGGAGGAGGAGTGGGGGGGGTTGGTCTCTATTTCAGGGTCACCTGGGAGTGAGGAGTCTGCCCTGGGCTGTGTGGTGCTGGGGAACTCACCTCCCATCTCTGGGCTTTGGTGAGGAGAGCTCCCTGAAGGAAGGACAAGGACTGACTGGAACTTTTTCTCTTTAGGAAAGGGTTCTTATCCCAATGATTCTCATTCGGCCTCAACTTGGAAACTCTCTCCCTTTAAAAACATGACCCCCAATTTAAGGGTCAATTTATGGTCAGGTTCAAATTACACTGGTTTGCCTGTGCCTTTGGGGGAAATTCTCAGACTCACCCCCAGGGCTAGGGATTGCCCACTGCCAGCTCCCCATCCCTAAAGGGTGATTGATCCACAATAGTCAGTGGGAAGGGACCTCCGTGGGGATCAGGCGTGGCTGGGTTCATGCACATGTTCTGAAAAATTCAGGCCAAATTACCCATTCTGGGTCCTGGAACCACTGGATATTGAATTATAGGGGTTGTCTTTGGAGTTCAGTGTGGTGGCCTCTCCAGTCTCTTTGGCGCAGTGAGGACTCAACCAGTAAACCCCAGAGGACTCTCTCTGTTCTCTGCCCAGTGCTTGCCCTGAGATGGGACTTCAGACCCTGACATCCTGCACCTGAGGGAGACCTCAGGGCAAGAGTCCCCCAGGGCTCTGGGAAGGGGCTGGCTGCCTCTAGCCTCTCCTGCAGGTAGTTGGGAAGTCAGAAGGGAACCTGGATTTCTTCTGGGTCCCTCCTTTCAGACAGGTGGGGTCCAGAGCGCTCAGGGCGTGCCTGCATCTAAGACCCACCCTGCACCCGGATGGGAAGGTAGTGTGCAGGAGTATCCAGGCTTTCTCCCACCTTCTGTCCCCAGCCTCTTGCTTCTTTTCTTTCCTTCTTTCTCTCGGCTCTCTCCCCCCTCCCCCTCCTCTCCCTCACAAAAGCTCTCTGTACACAGCCACTTCCTCTGGCTGCTGTCTCTGAGCCCAGACCTTATGAGAACCATATGGGGGAAAGAGGGTGGAAGAGAGGGGGTGGGGAAGCTGGCAAGGACCCGCCCCTGCAGCCAGCATCTTTCCACTCCCCTCGGGCTATGTGCGAGGCAGCTGGCACACTTTGCCCTGAACTACCCTAACTGGATCCTGGCAGTTGGGGTGAGGGGCATTGAGGGGAGGGACCAGTTCAGGGCTGGAGCTTCAGAGGGAGATCTGTGTTCAAGAATGACTTTGCTGAGGCTGGAGTGAGCACCAGGGCTGTGAAGGGGCCTCCCCTTCCCCTCCCCTTCCCTCTTTCTCTAAAGACCACCAAACCCCCAGCAAAAGGATCTGGCCCGTCCTTAGGTGCATCTGAATGGCAAATGCTCCTTCTCCCTTTTGTGGGTCGCTGATGTGGTGGGCAACACCCTGCCCCAGAAAGGGGAGGCAAAGTGGACAAGGGATTCTGGGAGAATCCAGGGTGACCTGATCCTTGCCTGCCTCCTCCCCACCCAGCCTTGGAATGTTCCCAGGTCAAAAGGGCCTTGGTTCTGCTGGGAAGGAACTGGGTTTTTAAAGGCAGCTTTTGTGTCCATTGGGTCCCAAGTCCAGCCAGGTGAATGGCGAATTCCTTCCCTGAGAGGAATGTGAGAGAATCCAAGCAGTCACCCAGGCGTCAGGGAGCTGTGACTGTCAGGACACCAGGCCCTCCCATTCTGGCCTCAGTTTGCTCAGCTGTAAGACTGAGATGCAGAGGCTGCCTTTGCTGCTCTGTAAGGGCCTTTTCAGGGCAGCCAGTCCAGGAATTTATGACGCTGGCTGGAATCCTCTGAGGGGCTGCTCAGATGTCCCTGAAGGTCCTTGTAGGAGATTTCCTTCTGAAGTTATCTGTCCTTTCCTAGAATTCCTAACTACCCTCCTCCCCCTCACTCTCAGAGCTGAGAAAGAGAAGGGCAGGTCCACTAGCTGCTGCCCAGGGATGGGTGGGGGGTTCACATGGGTCCTCATCCCCCTCTCATAGCCAGGCTCTCCCTGAAGTTAGCCACCCCCCATGAGACCTTTCCCCCCACGGGAGAGCCATAAAGGCTCCTGCTCTGGACAGGAGCACTGGTGTCAGGACTGTGCTGAGGGGTGGGACAAATGGATCAGGAAGGAAGACAAGAGTTCTGCTTTCCTGGAAAACTGCAAATGAAAATCCATTAGAAGAGGGGAAAGCAAAGGGTGGGGAGAGGGGGCACAGAGTCCACTAAAAGAGAAGGCAGGAGTTAAGATAGTAGGGTGGAGGTGGAAGGGTTTTCAGTGAGGTCAACGGGACTCAGGACTATTCACAGAATTGCCTTGGAACTGCCTGGAAGATTTCTCTGACCAGAGATAGGAGGCTCCTTGCAGAAGGGCACCTTTTCTTTGCCTGGATAGTCCCAGCACTGGCAGCTACCAGGCTTCCTAAGGTGGAATCCTGGGTCCCCTGAGGACCCAAGCGAGTAGGGTACAGGTGTGAAGGGGATTGGGACCTGGTGGCTCACTGTGGAGGTAAATAGGGGAGGAGGAGGGAGATAAAGCCATGGTGCAAAAATCTATCCAAGAAAGTCCTGTTGCTTGCACCAAGTGACAGGCAAAAAGATGGAAGGGGAAATCTATGTGGAAACAAAAAAGAGTAAGGAGGAAGAGTTTGAGAGGGTGTGGAGAAGGTTTTCAAGCTCTGAGCCTCCTGTTTTGCTACTAGGATGAAGCCCTTCCCGCCACTTCTCTTCCTTCTTCCCTCAAGAGGCATGCTGGGTAAGGATGGCTGGGCTGGAGGAGCTGAGCCGGGGAAGAGAACCCCTGCCCAGCAATCAGGATCAGGTTTAGGTGGAGCCCCGAGGGAGAGCCTAAGAAATATGTCTGTGGCTGGGATTCAGCCACAGTCCAGGCTCACGGGCCAGCGGGCTCTCAGGGGCTTCTAGGGCCTGCCCTGTGGTCACTGTGGGGATGGCCAGCCAGGCCCAGAGATGTTCCTTTGGAAGGTATCTTAAGCCAGCTAGGTCAGTGGCCTGGGACAATGAAGGGGTGCTTCCTCTGGGAGTGGCTTGGGATGGGAAGGTAAGCTAGCAGTCATGTTTGCTGCCACCCTGTCACAATATATTCTCACCAAGAGCTGGCTGCACTCACTCCTTGGAGTGGCGTCGATGGGAATTAGCTATGGCTGGAAAGCATTAGTTACCAAATCATTCTAAGATGTACTGCAAAACCACCTTTTAATGTTTCCCCTCTTTTCTGCCTTCAGTTCGTTAGGATTCCCTAATCCCAACAAGCAGGCATACAGAGAGACAGTGTCCCACATCTGTGTGTGAGTACAGCCACAAGATGGAGTACACACACACACACACACACACACACACACACACACCCCTTTCTTGAACTGAGTTATCATTGCCCAGTGGGGGCTCGCACAGACACCGGCCCAACCATTCCACACAGCAAGCATATTTCTCCTCCAGATCTGAGTGGGCTGGGGAATGCCTGGGCCTGTCTAGACCCTTCAACACCAGTGGACAATCAAAGAGACCAGGAATGAGCAGCCCCAGCTGCCTTCCCAGGCCATGGCCATATCCCAGAACCGCTGGGGAGACGTGGGAGAGAGCAGACACATTGCCTCCACCTCCTAATGCACGCGCGTGCGCGCACATACACACACACAACACACACACACACACACACACACACACACACACACACCAGCTGGGGAAAATGCAGGCCAGGCGGCCAACGTCAGAGGCTGACCAGTCGTGTCCTGTCAGGAAGCCGGCAGCCTCTGAACTCACCCAACCAGAGGCATTACTGTATTGTTCTGGACACAATCAGGATAGACTGGGAGCCAGCCCCAGCTCTGGGCAAGGGGCGGTGGGGAAACGGTTGCCACCGGGGGCAGGAAGACAGGAAAGGGGAAGCGCTTGCAGGTTGGGTCCTGGGCGGCAGGGCAGGGGCTGCCGCCGGCTCGGACCCTGCACCCCACGGCGCGTGGGGCTGGGAGCACGTGGCCGGAGCAGGACGCGCGGCGGGCGGAGGTCCCTCACTGGCCTCCCCCGTGGGGGCTTGGCGTCCCGTCGCCGAGGGAAGGCTGGGGGCGGGGGCCAGCCTGAGGAAGGACAGGGGATGCCAGGTTCTTTCTTCGCAGTCTTGGAGCGGAGAAGTCAATCGATTAACAGCCAAAGCTAGTGTCACCCCCAGGAAAGGCAAAGAAGAGGGCGGGGTGCAGGACCCCGGGCGCACTGCTCACTTCACAGAAGTGCGCGGAGGGACAGAGGCCCGAGAGGGACCGGGACGCCGGGGTCTCACTCAGGCCGGGGGCGCCGCAATCCCAAGGGCAGATTTCCCAAGCCCCCAGTGCCCCGCCGGCCCCGTGGAGACCGGCTGGAACCGGGGCTGGCAGGCGACGGAGGTGGGGGGGTGCGGGTGGGGCGCCCCCCACTGGAGGAGCCAAGCCCGCGGGGTGAACCTGGGGGACCCCTCCAGGCCGCCCACGGACGCGTCGGCGGGCGTCGATCTTGCCTGAGCCTTCCCCCACCCTGGCTCCCCGAAGTCTTTACCCCAGCCCAGGCTGCAGAGTCCAGGGGCGTGGGCGCCCCGCCTGCGCGCATTCCCTCCACCTGCGCAGGTGAGTGGGCGCCCGCGGTGCCTCCCTGTGCGGTGCGGCCGCCCCCCAGGCCCCTTCCGCCCTCGGCACCCCGGGACCCCTAATCCCTCCCGCACCTCTCCAAGCCTCCCTCCCCGGCGCCTGGGCTCAGGCCCGCCCTCGAGTCTCTGCGGTGGCCGCAGCGGCCCCGTGCCCCTTCTCCCGGCCCTCCCGTCCGGTCTCCCTCCGTCCCCTCGTCGGGGCTCGGGCCGCGCCGGCCGAGGGCGGTACTCACAGGGTGACGGTTCCGTTCGGCAGAAGGCCGGGCTCGGGGGGCTCCGGGAGGTCCCCGCCGCCGCACACCACCCTCCTGCGCGCGGGGTTGGGGGCGCCGCCGCTCAGCCCCTTGGGCCGCTCCCCCGAGCATTTGCAGCTGCGAATGGGGACGGGGCAGCCGGGCGCGCCCCGGGTCTCGGGCACCAGGAACAGCAGCCACGGCAGCAGCGGCAGCAGCAGGCGCGCGGGCGCCCCCCGCATCCTGCGTCCCGCGGCGCCCATCAGCCCATCGCCCCGCGGGGACCCGCGGCGCCGGGGCCCGTCTGCGCGGCGGCCGGAGGGACCCGGGCGGGCGGGAGGCGTGCTCAGCGGGGCCCCGGGGCGTCCGAGGGCGGGGCGGGGGGCCCTGGGCGGAGGCGAGCCCCGGGGTCCCCGCCGCCGCGCCCCGGGGGCATGTCCGGCGAGCGCCCCGGCGGGGAGGACGCGGGCGCGGCTGTCAGCGCGGCGCTGGCGGCCCCCGGCGGCGCGGCCCGAGGCTCCGCGCGGTGCTCCCGGGCCGCCGGGGGCCCGGCCCCTCCGCGTCGCCTGCTCGCTCCGCGCCGGGCTGGGACCTAGCGGATCGCGCCGGGCTCCTGCTGCCGCCGCCGCCGCTGCGTGCCATGGATGGAGGCAGCTCGGCGCGGCGCCGCTCCCGCCGCCGCCTGCCCCCGCCCGCCCTCCCGGGAGGGCGCCCTCCCCTCGCCGGCTCGCCCGTCCGCGAGGCCCTAGCGCCTCCCGATGCGCCGCCAGGCCGGGCCCTCCTCGGAGCAGAGCGCCCCGGCGGCTGCAGGCGCCGCGTGTCCCCCGGAGCCTGCCCCGAACCCCGACTCCTTGGCCTCCCGCGCGTCTTCCCCGGGCCCGGACTCTTCCGCTCCACCAGCCATCTGGGCCTCGAAGCCCACCACCATCGCTTTCCGCAAAACCCTTCCTCGCTCTTGCCGGTCCAGCCCGCAACCCCGTGTTCTGGGCCTTTCATTGACCTGTGGGTTTGGCCAGAGGTGTTTGGTGCTCCCCGTGTGGGGTTGAGACTGAACTTTGTTCTCCGCCCCGGGCGTAGCTGACGCTCGGCGGGCCAGTCTGGAAGCCCGCTCCCCCTCCCGCAGCCCTGCTCCGGCCGCTGTAGGATCCAACCCCGAGACTTAGGAAGGCTCAGCCGCCCCTCTGTTGCCTGTGCTGCCAGTGACCTCACCCAGCGGGGGAGGGGGTGCCTGTCACTAGGCCACGGAGGGGTCAAAGGCCAAGGTAACAGGCTAGATCTGGCTTTCTACATTTTCCATATCCCAGTGTGTGTGTGTGTGTGTGTGTGTGTGTGTGTGTGTGTTTGGAAGGCAGTGGGGATGAGGAAAATGGGAAGAGGAAAAGCAGGGATCAGTGCTGCCAGGGTGTGGAAAGAGCACTGCCCTGTAGGTTAGTAGAGTTTCATTCTAGACAGCTCTATTTGACTTGGACACAGCCTCTAACATCCTGGAGCATCTAATCTCTGGGGTCATAAGGGGGGGCTTCTAGATTATGAATGTCAGTTGTGGCATTTGAGTGAACGAGAGGTGGCACTCAGTTTCCATAGGCAGAGGGCTGGTGGCTTCGAATATTGTCTGGGGATGGATCCTGAGGGTCCTAGAGGGACTGTAATACAAGCTGGGAATGGGGCCTAATAGACCCTTTGCTGCTGAGGGGCAGGCCACCTGGGTTGGGGGATCCGTGGGCAGAACTCCTGTGTCTCATCTATCACTGTATCACCAAAGAAGGTCTCTAACTGCCACCTCCTTTCTGTGGTCTAGGCCCTACTGGCATCTTTTCCAGCACCCTAGCCTTTGGCTGGAGTCTCCCACCCCCCTTTGCTGAGAAGCAACTTCTCTCCCTGCCCCGCTAGAGACAGACACTGGGCCCAGACACGGGCTTCTTCACTTTCCCTCTCTGGCTCCTCCAGTCTTTCCCAGCTGTAGGCTCTGGTTCCTTCAACTTCCAAAGATAAATAAATAGTGATTGCAAATGGAGTAAGAGAGAAGGGGAATGGACTCCCCAGCAGGAGCCCTCCACAGGCGGCAGGCAGGCTGAGACTGCATTCCTTTGGAAGGGTCGAGATGGAGCCATGGCCACAGGCAGGGTCTGCCATTCAACTCTCCTGTTCTCAGGCAAGGCGAGCTTTTCAGGGGAGCAGAGGCCTCTGTCCTAGATCACACACACAGCTTTTTGGTCAATTATTTTTGCTACATGAAGACACTCAAAAGTCTGGAAAGGAATTGCACTGGGACTCGTATTCTGTGAGGCTGTACAGAGGTCAAATGACATTTAATGAGGCAAAGCTTCCCCACAGGTGGGAATGAGGTGCTGCATGGAGACATTTCTAAAACTCTCTCTTTTCCTGTTTGTCATCACACTGTTTGTCTTTTATACCCACCCAGAGAGGTGAATGGGACAGGAGCTACCTTCCCACTTTGCCATTGTGGATGAGGAAACTGAGTCATGAGCAGTCAAGAGCCAGGGGTGGGAATTTACCCTCTGATTACTTTTCAAGTGCTCTTTCCTCTGAGCCACTCAAAGCTTTTCCCACAGAAGCTTCCCAGTTTAACTGTCATCAGAAGCACAGGGTGGGATGGATGAGTGGCCTGCAAGAAGATCTTTTTGTTTCGAAGTTTGTTTGAGACAGAAGAGGAACTCAAACTTAGTCCCAATCTCAAGAAATCTGGCTAGGGAGTTTTGCCAATTACATACACCCTCTTGGTGTGATAAGCTGTTTAATGGACTAAGGATAAGGTATCAAGATCACAGAGAGGAGGCTGAACTGATCCTGCTGAAGCAAGAGAGAAGTTTTAATCCAATTCAGGGCAGAAGTGCAAACCACCTGACTACTAACCCATAATTATTCCCTTTAGGGTCTGGGGCTCCCCCCCCAAAGTAAGCTTGTCTTTGCTAGGTTTTAGCTGCTAGCAAACCTTTCTCTGCCCCCAGCTTCCAGGCTGATCCAGTCCTCCTTGTCAAGGATGAATTGGAGCCTTTAACCTCATGGCAGACCAGTCCTCCCATTAGCAGCAGCTGAGGGCAGAAGCTGGGGTAATGGTCAGTGTCCCCTCCCTCCAAGACTGGAGCAGAGCAGAGGCTACGGCAGGAGGACCTGCACACAGGAGCTAACATCTCCGGAGTGCTTATTGTATGCCCGCATTTGTTGACTACATTTCACAAGAATTAGCTCATTGAGTCCTCCCAGCAGGATAAGGATGGCTGTTTTATCAGACCGGAAACTGAGGTGTGAAGAGGCGCTTTAGTAGTCCACTGGGTTCAGGCTAATAAGTAGTAGGACCAGGATTTGAACTCAGGCACTCTGGGCTCCAGGGTCCAAATTTTTAACCACCAGGCTCTGTAATTTGCTGAGAGGAGAAGATCTCTCAACAGTTCCCCCCAAATTTTACTTCTAGAGGTTTTCTCATTTTGATTCCCTGGGCTCTTCTGAGCTAAACCTCTAGAGATGTCCACTCACAAAGCATAGCTGGGCAGGACCCCCATCCCGATTCTAACAGAATCAAGGAAGGCAGAAACTTTCCTAAAGAGCCTTGATACTCGGCTAGAAGAAAGGAAAGGGTGACTAAAGATTGTAACATGTGTAGACTCTGAACCAGCAAGAGCTGGCTAGCTAGCTAGCTCCCCCAGCTGTCTGGGGGCCCCATCCTGGGTGTTTACCTTTAAACTTAGGTTTTCTAACACCCTCTGGGTCTTCTTGACTTTCAGAGGCAGGATCCTAACACAGACCCTGGACAATAGTACAGGAGATAATGGTCCACAATTAGGTCGATAATGCAAATAGGACATTTCTCCAGGGCTCCACGAGTTTAGACACTGTGGAGGCACAGAGCCTGTGACACCTCCCCCCCAATTCTCCTTCTCCCACCTTCATCCCAGGATGGCTGTGCTGGGCAGTCCTCCGGGCTCTCTGTCTCCTACCTTCCTCTGGGGACGGTGCTGAGGCTGCCTGTCCTGCTGGAACATTCACACTGGGTATTCATGGAGAGAAATGCTCTACTCAAGCAGAAGAAACAATAAGGATTGTGAGAAGCTACCCAGGTAAATCTTTGGGCCTGGGAGGCCTTCCTTTTGGTGATCAGATATAATCCCGTGTTAGGCACCTGTGTATAATTTAGGCAATCTCGCAGGAAGTGGTCATGATCGCTGTGTCTATTAAAATTGGAGTCACCCTTAAAGTGAAATCTACTCACACTCCTCCAGATGCTGGGCTGCCTCCTGAACTGAGCATTGTGGCCAAGGGCATGGACTCTGCAGCTGCATTCAAATCCTGGCTCTCTAGTTTATGGATCACGTGATTTTGGGCAAATCACTTAATATACCAAAGTCTCAGTTTTCTCATCTGCACTTACTTCAGAGAATTGTACTGATGTCAACTGTATATAAATGATGCCTGTGTAGTATAGCACAAGAATACATTTGGCCTTTGTCATGGTTCCTGACCCAGAGCTCCTCAAACCCTTGGTGTTTCCTGAGTGATAGGACTTTTTTTTTTTTTCAAGATTTTATTTATTTATTCATGAAGGACACAGAGAGGCAGAGACATAGGCAGAGGGAGAAGCAGGTTCCCTGCGGGGAGCCTGATGAGGGGCTTGATTCCAGGACCCCGGATCATGCCCTGAGCCAAAGGCAGATACTCAACCACTGAGCCACCCAGGTGTCCCTAGGAGTTTTTTTGTTAATAATCATAAGGGGCATCTTTGATCGCACCTGACTTTATGCTAATGTTGAGGGTGAGACTCTTAGGTAGCCTGGAAATGGGGCTGGTCACCAGAAAGACCTAGTGATGAGAGGATTAGAACTTTCAGCCCCACTGGCTTCTGGGAAATGGACAGGGGTGCTAGAGATTGAGGTCTCTGAAACGTCCAATGGTGAGATTTAGAGTGCTTTCAGGATGAACATGACAAGGTGCTGGGAGGCCCACATACTTGAACAGGGCATGGAAGCTCCTTCTCTCCCCATACCTGGTCCTATGCATCTCTTCCATTTGGCTGTTCCAGAGTTGAATCCTTACAAATAAACCCTCTAACGTAAGTACAGTGCTTTCCTGAGTCTTGTGAACCATCCTAGCAAGTTATTGAAACTAAAGAAGAGATCATGGGAGGCTCTGATTTACAGCCAGTGAGTCAGAAGTATCGGTGGCCCCAAGACTCGCAACTGGCATCTGAACTGGGAGGACTGAGCCCTTAACTTGTGGGGTTTGCTCTACCTCTGAGTGGAATTAAATTGTAGGACACTCAGTGGAGAATTAATCGGTGTCAGAGAACACCCCAGCCTGACACACGCAAGTGCTCCATAAATGTTAGCTAACCTCCTCACTGGAGGCTTGCTGCTGTTTTTCTTATTGGCACTGTTGAAAAAGGAACAACAGATCAAAAATGGAGTCACTTGTGCTAAGCCCCACATCAGCAAACCAAGACTTAATACCTAGCCTAATTTTAGTTTCAGCCCTCCCAGAAATCTGACCTTTAACCAGCCAATCTGGAATTACCTTGTCAGCACCAGTGAGGTAATGCCTGATAGACCCCAGCCTTTTCCCAAAGAAAGGAGACCTTGCCGGAACCAATCCACTCTTTGCTAGGAACTTCCTTTTCCCACCCCCTTCTGCCTGGAAAAGCCTTCAGT